AAACAAATGTAAACATATAAAATTTTTTACTTGGATTTCTTTATCATAATTCTTCATACATTCTTGACAAATATTAATAATATCTTGGTCGCTTGGAATCTTAACCCAAGATTCATTTTTAAACCAGTCGATCATATTTAACTTTTTTAATAGTGGCATCTGTTCAAGTAATATATTTGTTATAAAAGTCTAATTTATATTCGATTCCTTTTTGTTAAGGTTTATTGGTTGGCATGAACAGTTTTTCCCATAAATTTCCGTACAAACTAAAGCACACCAAACATTTTTGGACAAACATTCGAACGAAAATTTAAAATCGTTAACATTATTGTTATGACAATCGTAATACGATACAAAAATAGCTTATTTTATTATTATGGATCATGCCGAATCAATAACTTAACCGGATCGGTTGAAAAATCATTCGGCAAATTTTTATAAGTGTTCCAGGAATTATGATAATAGCTGTAATTTTTGTCAGGTTCCCAGGAATTACGAAAAACAGCTGTAGCCGGAGTTATTTCGGTTAGCACGGTTGACCTAGAAATGTACCTCGCAAAATATAATGCCATCATATCTCATGAACTCAGAATTGTAAAGTCATATGATTTGTGGAATGTATACTAGTTTTTATTGACTAAACTAACTCAATTAAGCAACCTAGTTTTTATTATATTTGTTGAAGCTGCATTGAAAATCAACAAAACACAGTAAAAATCTTTAAAAGTATTTTATTTATTTATATAATATTAATAATAAATTTTTTAAAATATAAAATAAATGAAATTATTGAATTCGAAATATCCAACTTTGTCTGAAGTAATAACAACTGATTCAAATATAATATCCAACTTATCTGAAATAGTGATTTCGATCTACATTATCTTTATTATTTACCTAGATGTCCCAAAATTTATAGCTTTTGAAGATATTCAAACGCCTTATGTTCTTTCAATTCCTTTTACATCATAATGACATAGTCATTCTCATTATTCGGATAATACAAATTGTACAAAATACGAGTTATAAACAGATAATTCAAATTGCAGATCAAAAAATCACACTAAAGTTTTGCTTTTCCTTAGCGTCACTTATCTATCATAAATATATTGAACTTGATCAACCGGTTAACCGAGTTTTGTTCGTTAGAGCCCAATCGGTTCAAATCACTAGTTAGCGTTAGTATTTACAAAAAATTAATTTGTAGCAATAGTTATGATCCAATTATAGATATCACTGGGTAACCTTTATGTGGATACAATATCCAGCGATGTGTCTGAATTATCAAACCCAAACATGTCTTACAGCTGTTCTCATAAATTCTGGGACAACCTAAAAATTTGCTCGTTTCCTGAGGTTTCGTCCTATGAATCATCCGACTCTCCGAAAAATACATCGCTATCTCCGGACTGAAGTTCCGAGGACAATGACGTGATCCCGAAGAGTTAGGTGACCCCTTTAGGACGAAACCGAAGAGATTTCGGGAAACGACAAATTTTTAATTTGTCCCAAAACTTATGAGAACAGCTGTAACATGTTCGTAAACTTTCAGACT